TGTCTTCACTACTGGGGAAAGGAGAGTTATCGGACGATAAGACTTCCCTTTGTTGGCGGGTTTCGCAGGTTTCAGTAGTGGGGCCACTCTTCCGACTTTCCACACTTTGGGTATTTAAAGAGTGGTCATCGACAAGTTGAGGATCTTGGTGAGGTAGCTTACTCCCGTCGAGCCTAGGTCTTTTAGCATCAGCATGCTTATTCCATTTGGGCCGAATGGATTTGGCGGATTTTGCTTGGTTGATGGCACTCTGAACTTCCCCATCGGTGAAAGTAAGTGGCTCGCGATCTTTTGGCATTTTGCGCAGCTGTCGGATAACATATCGTTTGGCCTTGTCAGCCATGCTATAATTAAATTTCAACCCGGTCGCCATGTTTCCCGGATTAGACAATGCCTACAGTGGTCCAAAGCTTACTTACACTGGTAGAGAGGTTGCAGGAATTTAGATGCTCTATCCCTTTTTGTCCGCTTATGTTGGTTTACCATGTTCCGAATCTCCATATTGAGATCCCTTATTCAGGGATAACAGGGATCGGCATGGCGTAAGGTGTCGCGCTCGTTGGCTAATACAGCTGCTTCGGCTGGGAAATTAGGGCGGAGTTCCACGATAGTTCTAGCCAGTATGAAGTGAGCAGTAGCAGCAGCGACCACCTTGCGGAATTGACGCTCGCCAACGATGGCGCCCTTAGGAATGGGTAGTGTGGTGAAGGTGCTTTCGGAAAATTCTGTGAAAGTTAAAGTTAATGAAGGTGAGGTTGTCCACAGAAATCAAGTCGGGAGGTGTCTCGATCGAGATAATTGGGGACAGGTGGTCTGATGCGAGTTAGCATAGGTCGCCAAGTTATTCTATTTATCAGACCACCGCTAGCGATGATAATATCTGGCGAGCTATTACAGGCGCCCATAATTCTGGTGGGAGCTTCGTCATTCATTGTGTAGAATGTCGAATCGTAAATCTGTTACGCCAGCTCCATCCCCTACGATCGTTTGACAGGCAGGAGTGCCAAAGATCGTTGTGCGCATTAAAGTCGTCTAGCACCAAACGGTTTTCACCTCGAAGCATCGCACCTATATTCGGGTGATATCCTGTTGGACAACATGTAACTGGGGGGATGTATGTATCAAATGTCTCGAGCTCGACATAGCCTGACCGGACAGCAATACCCTGACATTCAAGGGAGTGGCGGCGCAGTGCCCGGGCATGGCGCAGGTTGCACAGTCGTTGAGGTAGATGTGACAGTATTGCATTGGCAGCATGGCGCCACGTAACTCGTTGTCCACTCCCTATGTGTCTTAAGCCCAGAGTAGGTCTTAAGGTGGCTCCATCCATGGCATGTGTTACACCTATTCGAGATGTAGTTTGGATGAAGTCTTTTTGCGCACATGCAGTAAAAGAATTGCTTGGGGACCTGGTTGGACTCGATACCTGCACGTGTCAGGAGGATACGGAGCAACCCTGCTGCTAGGCGTTACTCTATTGACACAAAAATAAACTAAAACTTACCGAACCCAACAGGGTTAGATCGCCGAGACAACAGCCCTTGGCCGGATAAAATCCGGGTAAATTCCGGTAACGTAGAACCGGCTGTTGTGTGAAACTAGATTCTCGCAACCTCAGATTTGAGCCGGTCTACGAAGAATTATATTGCATATATCAGATTTGATATTCTTACTATACCTCAGGACGCTCTGCTCTAGGTGTAATTATTAACGACAAGAAGACGACAAGCATGTAAATAGTAAACATCCAAAGTAAAGCTTTCGAGAGAATTGATTTCATTTTATCTTCGTTTTCGTTCTCATTTTTTTCGTTGTTTTTATTAGCTTTATTCCTGTCATTACCATTTGTTTTATCGGGGTTATCCTTGTCATTAGGAAGCTGATTAGACGTAAAAAATACACTACTTGAGTGCATTCTTCGTATCATCAAAGGGGATACATCACAAGACCTAGCAAGTAAATTTACAGCAGCTTTGTATTCAGTGGTAAAGTGCTTGATCTAAAAATATAAAAATATGCACATCAGATTAATTACAGAAAGTTTATACGGGTTGGCTTTAGTATACCACCCCACGATTTCAGGGTTAAGAGGGTATGGTTCGATAGAGGAGATTCCCCAGATCACGAATATATATAAAGTTTTCGAGATATTTGCATTATAATTTGAAAATTTCACAAATTGTATCTTACAATTTCTTTATTTATAGTTATTTTTTCTTTTATATTATACACTTACTTCACTACAATGCTTCTACATATTTATTTGAAATTAATTATTTTAATATTTGCTTTAAATAAACAGTTTATTTTTACACAATTTTTGTTATATGCACAATAACAAATGGGTTCCATATTGGCACATAATAGGTGTTGCCATATTATATATATATATATATATTTATATTTTGCGAAATAAAATTAATAATAGAGGATTATAACCCAAATACATGAACCGTAATTTTAATCGTTCCCTTCTCTTGATCAACCGTGGTACTGGATCGGCAGGGTTTTTTTCTTTTTTTGAAGCGCGCCCGAAGTCCGCCAATGCCGAAAGAAGTTGGACGCGAAAGGAATAACGACCACCCCGGGGTTGGATCGGCCAGGTATTTTTTTGAAGCGCGGACGAAGGCTGCCAATGCAAATAAGAAATCTAACCAAAAACAAGTAATGTTAAACAGGGTGTATCACTATTCTCTCCGTTGCCACGACAGTCGGGTCTACGTAACCGGAACGGACCCGGGTTTATTCCGGCCGCTACAACAACAGGGTATATCACTCTCTTTAAATTTAATTTTCTATAACGAATTATAACAGATATTGTTACAACTAAACATGGTACCGTTTAATTTTTTGTGCGTTTTGCCATTGAATTGGTAAATATTGTGTATCTAAGTTAATTTTGTCGAGGGTAGTTGGGTATTTTATTTATTTCGATTGCTTTCATTCGTTAGGATATGGCAACACTAATTATCTGTCAATATGGAACACATTTGTTATTGTGCATATAACGAAAATTGTGTAAAAATAATATGCTCATTCAAAATATTAAATTAATTAATACAAAATAAATATGTAGAAACGATGTAGTAAAGTGTTAGCGTATAATAGGTGTATAATATAAAAAAAGTTACCATAAATCGAGAAATTATTAGATAAAATTTGTGAAATTTTCTACTTAAAATGGAAATATCTCGAGAACTATAAGTTTCCGGCTATGATTATATATATTCGTGATCTAGAGAATCTCCTCTATCCAACCATACCCCTCTTAACCCAGAAAGCGTGGGATGGTATACTAAAGTTTCCCTTTATACGAATTTGTCTAACCTTATTTTTTGATATAAACTGATTGGGCAGTCGAATGAAATTACTATTGTGAAACTCCTCTGTACACTTTTTCACAAGCATAGTTTTCATATTATATAACTGTTTGATACATGTTAATCTAAATTGACCACTTATTTGAAACATTTCCTTTCCAGTAATTGTTTTGATTGCGATAATAATATGAGCAATATTGCTTAAGTATTTAATAATAATAAATAATAGCAAAAGTAAATATTCAAACTTTTAGAGGTAGTAACTAATATCGTATACTTTCGATAGCTCGATACTTCTAAGACTAATGCCGGCAATAATATTGCACCGGATTTCTCGATTAATCGTCTAGCTTGTAACTCATGGTCTAGACAGCGAAACATAACATAACATCGCAGCGGATGAACCCAAATAAGCAACATAAAGTTGAATGGTTTTTCGTAACATAATAGATGATAATGCTGGAATTTAGAATAGCATCCCCCGATTTAGGAATTAAAACGGGTATGTAAGGGATAGAAATGATTATCCAGATAAAGAAAATATATATATTTAATTGCGACTTATGAGTTTTGAGATATTTGGATTTAGAGTTCATTAATTCATTTAAAGTTCATGTTTCTTTGATTTATTGTGCATTTTACAGTTAGTTTTTTTCCTTTATATCCACTAACACGTCACAAATTCGTTTCTATACATTTGTTTTGTATTAAATAGTCCAAAAATTACTTTAATTTAATATTTAACTTTGATTTAAGTCCATTTATTCATACAATAACAAAATGGTTGCATGTAAACAAAATAAATAGTGTTACCAGGAGTTCTACAAGAAAGAACCGAGCATACCCCGGTATTCGACCGACCAGGGTTGTTTATTATAAAGCGCGTCTGAGGGCCGCCATCGTAAAAAGTAGTTCTACGCGAAAGAACTGAAGACACCCAAATTTTGGAGCGATCATAATTATTTTTTTGAAGCGCGACCGAAAGCCGCTATAAATATCACTGATTATTTGTTAGAACGCAATTATTTTGTTATTGGTTAAATATTGAATTTATGTAGTTTACGAGATATTTACGTTTCAAGTTGAAAATTTCAACTATTTAAGGTACGTATTTTTCGATTTAAAATGAATTATACACTTATATTTTTCACTTTTACATCCACTAACACTAATTCGTTTTAAGACATTTATTTTATATTATATGATGCAAAAATAGCTTTATTTCAATATTTAAATCATCCTTTAATTCTATTAATTTTGACAATTACTAAAATGTTGTAAATGTCAAATAACCAGTGTTGTCATACTAAAATTTTTTGCATACGAAGAAAAATTAAATAAAAAGAGAGATTATACCGCAAATACAGGAGCCATAATCGTTGATGGATACTCCTAAATCCTTTAGCATAAAAAAAATCTGCGCGAAAAAGTTTTGGCACACCCCGGTGTTGAACCGACCAGGGTTGTTTTTTTGAAGCGCGCCGAATGCCGCCAACGCAATAAGGAGTTTTTTTATATCCACTAACACTTGACTAATTCGTTTTTAGAAATTTTTTTTATATTAGATGCTGCAAAAATAGCTTTATTTCAATATTTAAATCATTCTTACATTTTATTCATTTTGACAATAACAAAATGGTTGTGAATGTCAAAACACCAGTGTTGCCATACTAATATATTTTGTAAACGAAGAAAAATAAAATAAACAGAGAGATTATACCCTAGATACTGGAAACAACCCATAAAGAATTTCTGCGCGCAAACACCTTGGTACACCCCGCCATTTACGTTTGAAATTGAAAATTTCAACTATTTCAAGTATGTATTTTTTAGATTTAAAATAAATTATACTTTTATATTTTTCACTTTTATATCCACTAACACTTCACTAGTTCGTTTTTAGACATTTTTAACAAAAGGTTGTAAATGTCAAAAAAAATGTACCCATGATAGTTTTCAAATATGTTGTATATCATTGTGAACACATAAATATATAAACATAAGACTGAAAATTTGATTTTTAATTTCGGTTTTTTGTACCTCTACCAAGTTTATAAAAACTGTAAGCTTAGTATTCCAACTAGGCGCTGGGTTATTCGTCGGCCGCTGAATAAAAGGATAATTTAAGAAACATTTTTTAAAAATGAAGCATCAGGATGAGGACAAGCTTTTCATTTATACGACGATGACCTATTGCTGAAATAATTGGGACCTTTCTTGATAAAACCCAGGCAACAAGCCTATTTTGTAAGTAAGCACATATGTGTGGGTAAATGTATAGTTTAGGTCCCCCAACTAAGAAAGCCTCAAAAATGTGAATTTTTTCAATAATTATATATTTTTTTAAATTTTTTCAAAACAAAAAAGAAAACGTTAAAAAAACTGTGATACATTTAATTATTTTATTTTTTCCGCTGCTGAAAGGAGTTCGGTACAAAAGAACTATGGACACCCTGGGGTTGGACCGACCAGAGTTATTTTATTAAAGTGCGGCCGAAGGCCGCAAGTGCGGGGAGGAGTTCGACGATCTCCGATACGCGTTCATACCAACAGATCGCGGTGCAAAAAAATTGAGACTGTTAGATTTCTTCAGTATTTTGTTTTTTCACAAGAAAAAGTGCAGAAAGGAGTTTGACGGGATTGAATTATGAACACCCCGTTGTTGCACCGACTAGAGTTAATTTTTTGAAGCGTGGCCGAAGGCCGCAAGTACGGAGAGGAGTTCGACGATACGCGTTCATACCATCAGATCGCGGCGCAAAAGAAATTGTGACTGTTCCATTTCCTCAGTATATTGTTTTTTCACAGGAAAATGTTTATCTCGCTGCACTGGTAATTATAGCTAAGTGATCTGAATTCTGCAGAATTTGCCGCTACAACAACAACAACTAAGTGACTTGAAAAATATGTGCAAAGGCGTTAAATATATTTGTAAATATATACATAAATTAATTAAAAAATTCACTTTCCGCTCACGGAAATGTAATCTTCGCGTAAAAATAAGACGATTAAATAAAAAAATAATTTTTGAGGCCTCCTTAGTTGGGGGACCTAAACTATACATTTTCCTATGTGTTTACCAAAGAAATAAATGGGTATAATATTTTCAGATGCTTCTCTTGAGACCTGCGAAATAATGTGGAACACATTGTCACCCATATATCTTAGTGAGCCTAATTTACCCCAGTACAAAGACATTGCTTATGACTTCAAAGAAAGGTGGATAATGCCGATCTGTGTGGCAGAGCGATACATGGCAAACATATTGCAATAACCTGTCCAAGAACTCTGGCTTCATGTAGTTCAACTACAAAAAGTTCCACGGTATTGTCCTGATGGAAAGGGGGAACATCTTCACATCGGCTAGAATTGGAAGTTACGCAGCGAAAGTGGTGGACATATTACTAATCTTTACAAAAATATATTCACACATTATACAATAGAAAAAGAGGCATTTAATTATCCCCTATCACGTGCGCGCCAAGTAATCGAAAGTAGCAAGGTATTCTTACTGCACGCTGGTGCGTACTTCGCTCTGTGATAGAGTGCAGCCCGAAGAACGTGGAAAAAAATTGTGCTTGGATGTCTTGTTCTACACAACTTTGTCATGCTAAATGACCACCAACGATTAAGAAAACTCTGAGCAAAATACCAACTGGCGCAATGAGTGGCACGATAAGCTCAACTCACGAAATGCCACCGCTTCCATCTAATGGGGTACCTTAGCAGAGTATTTTTTAAAGCAATGAGTAGTTCCTTATCAATTAATTAATATCATCAAAACATCTATTTTTTCAATAAAAACAGTACAAAAAAAACTATTTATTTATTTTAAAGTTTATTTGTTTATTATAATTAAATTAGATTTAGAATTTAATTAATTTAGATACTTATATAAAAATTTTTTAAATATCAACTCAAAATAATCACTAACTTCTTTGGGCTGGAATTTCAATTCCCTTCGCCTGTTTTTATTATACTCTCGTAACCTGTTGCTACAGAGTTTAGTAATTTTTTTTTATCATCTGCCCGAATGACCGCAATGTCTCATTCCCTTTTTGCGCCAATCTATAGCGACATACCTCCTTATATTTTACATGTTGGACACGCTTCTAAATTTTTCGTCAATAACGCCGGGATTATGTTTTCGTTTTCTTCTGCTTGAGGCTGTCGGTGTCCATGAAGATTTCCGAGATGATAATGACTGACTGATAATGTGTCATCCTGCAATGAGCTCTGAAAATATATGAAATTTTATTTATTAATGCATATAAAAAGTAGAATTAAATTTATTACGATTTGTACTAACTATCTAGGCTTTATATACTCCTTTCAAAATTTGAGACTTTCAAATAAAGGTATATTTCCTGGTGTATTTGCTTCCCTTCCAGACGCCCGTTCTGCTCGTTTGCACTCCCTGAAATATCGCTCTCGGATGTTTGTCCACCCCTTAAAGCCACTGCTCCTCTGTGTTAAATAGATAGAGATAAATAAATACATTTTAAATACATACAACAATGTCCAAAATATGGAAACACACACACATACAAGCAATATAAGTAAAAATATGCAAATACACACACATGCAACAAGTAAAAATATGTAATCAAACTAATAAGAATAAATGAATATACAGACCTGTCGCTTACAGTTTCTTTGTTATAGCAGCCCAAGCTGATCTTTTCTTCTCTGGCAGTCTGTAGGTCACGCAATTTATTTTGTATAAAAAATTGTTGTTGCAGACATAGTCCTGCCACAAGTTTATGAGTACTGAACAGATGACAAGCAAAAAAATGAACTGCCAGATCAAATCCCGTTGAAAGTAACTGACAAAATCAGTTCATTATTTTTCATAACAAAGTTTTATGCTGAATCAGCAACAGTGAAAGTGATATTGTTTTGGTAAATGTATAGTTTAGGTCCCCCAACTAAGAATACCTTAAAAATTCAATTATTTTAATCGTCTTATTTTTACGCGTAGATTACAAATCCGTGAGCGGTAAGTGAAATTTTTCAATATTCCTTTTCTTTAAAAAAAAAAAAAATAATAAAAAATTGTGATACATTTAAATTAATTGTTTAATCTTTTCTTTGAAAAAACCACATATTCAAGTTTTTTAGTGTATATACTCATCTTCTTCATAAACGTTTCATAAAATATCAATGTTTGTGCACTTTTATTGTGATATTAATAAGTACACATACTCTGCATCGTAATGAAAAATATCATCGAGGTTGAGAGCAGCGAAAAGGAGTTTGATGCGATGGAATTATGAACACCCCGGTTTTGGACCGACCAGGGTTATTTTTTAGAAGCGACGCCGAAGGTCGCCAGTATATTGGTCCATACCATCAGATCGCGGCGCAAAAGAAATTATGACTGTTACATTTCTTCAGTATATTTTTTTCATAAGAAAATGTTTAAGGGGGGTTTTTACTTTCGAAATTTTTTTTCTTATCTTATTGTTTAACATTTCAAGAATATTTCCTTAAAATTTTAGGTCGATAGAAGCAATACTCTTAAAGTCTTATTAACCCCCTGCCTTTAACGCTCCAACCAATAGTTCATAAACTTTAGACGCGTTTTTCTCAAAACTACTTTTTCAAAGTCCATGCATCTAAAACTACTTGACGATTTATTTTAAACTTTATCACATTTTCGACATAAGCAACTCCCTATTATAATTTTTTTTTACATTAAGGGTGTTTTCCATTCCACAATAAGGGAAAGTTTTAGTGAAAATAACAGTTACAATTTAAATAACGTCAAAATGTTTTAAATGAAAAACAAATATCAGAGAAGAAGGAGAGGATGATTAATTTAACTAATTTTCTTTTTTTCGGATATTATTAGCGGGGTGAACACGCAAATTATTTTTTCAAGACGTTCAGGGGTAAGTCTGTACGGCTTATGCTTCAATATTCCTGCATATTTATTTAATTTACAAAAAAACGATTTTCTATAGTTGGAAGGTATCTCCCTTCCGCTTTTTGCTCTTCATTCAATGCTTTATAAAAGTGTTACAGTGATCGGATGAGTTAAAATATGCGCCTTTGTTCGATGATCTGTTTCAATCGATGGCAACTCATAATACCTTCCTCGTAGAAGCCTCTCCTTATTTGCGAAGAATTCGGCAGCCACTTTTCACAAGCTCTTTGAGTTCACAACCACACCACAAGGGCTCGCCATGGACAGGAACAGGTGGTAATCACTTGGCGCTAGTAGTCTATATGGTGGATGCGATAAACCTCCCATCCGAGTTCCTGTAGCTTCTGACGAGTTCAAGAAGGTGGTCTGGCGTTGTCCTGGTGGAACACCATACACTTCCTGTTGCGCCATCTGGAGCTTCTGGTCGATCGCCTGCTTCAAGCGGTCCAGTTGTTCGCAGTAGATGTGGTGAATTTGCGTCCGGCCATGGAGCTGCTCATAGTGGATATTCCTTCCAATCCCACCAAACACACAGCAAAACCTTCTGGCTGCCAATCGCGGCTTGCCACTATTTGGGACGATTCACGGCCTTCGACACGACCGTTTTGCTTGATATTGTCGTATGGATCCATTTTCGTCGCCAGTCACCATCCTTCAAGAATGGGACGAGTTTTCCGTTTCAGCAGCATATCGAGGCGTTGATTCGGTCCGAAGGTTTTTTGCGTCAAATTGCGGCACCCAACATCAAACTTTTTTGTATCCAGCCTTCTGCAGATGGTTCAAAATGGTTTGGACTAACTCATCCTGACGATGTCATGAATGCCATATGCGCGTCTAACGATGTATTCCATGATTTGATGGCATTTGTCGTCACAGGTCTTCCGCCGGCTGGCTTATCCATGGTGTCTTTTCACCGGTCTGAATTGTCGAAACCATTTCTCCGCGGTTCGAAGTGATAGAGTACCATCCCCAAAACACCATTAATCTCACGGAACGTTTCTCTAGCGGATTTGCCTTTAACGAAGGAAAACTTTAAAATAGCGCGAATTTCGGCGTTAGTGAACTCATGTTACACGTCATAACTGTTGAACGCATATCCAAACTAATCATGCACAGCGTTGTTTTGTAGGTTGTCAAGACCTTTCAAATTATGTAGAGTGTTGCCAGATACGAGCTCTGTAGCGCTTTGTACATAGCCGGAAGTTCAAAAGACAAAAAAGCGAAGGAAATGACGGCCAACCTAAATATTATTTCATCCACATATAAAGAAACCAAAACATAATTTTCAATGGACATCAATTTGTCTTCTTTTCTTCAAATTCTTCGGGCACATCAATAATAAACAATGATGACCCTTTAAGTTTGAATTAAATGGACTCATGAGAAACAAAAGTGTTAGCATCTGTAAAGAAATGATGTTTTGTGATTTTACACTTAGCAATCGTTCTTTCAGCATAAAGAGATTTGCATAGGTAAAAATTCATCAAATCGAGCTATCAATTCCTACATGTTGCTTTGATATAAATGCACGGCAACAGTGATGTTCAAATTTCATTTTGAATTTGTAGAGAAGAGTATACCAAATTATGTGCATTAGAATGTTTGAATTTGCACAATTCTTTTAGTATTCTTTCAAAATACTAATTGATAATGATGTGTAACATCACGTGTTGAGTCTACGCTTATTGAAAAATATTTTCCTTTTTTAATTCAGATAAAATTGTACGTTCAATACTTGATGCAATCAAATTGATAAATTCATCGCAACTAGTATCCGAAAGATATGGAGCTCAGATAACAACATAATATACTTCCTTTTATTTCCAAACTTGCAATTGCGCTAAGCAGAAGATAAATTGACCAATAAATCTAGAATACCCAAAAATTACACCTGATTGAGCCACATTGGTCTGCGTCACGATCCAAGGAATTTTATCACAGTAGCTATTCTATTGTATATTTGCGTCGTGTGCCGTTTATTTGACCTAATCAACTGAATGATGTATTTGAAACTGTTTCACTGGTTTGCATAACATACAACGAGAATATTGGAAATCAATTTTAAAGCGCTTAAAAGAAGCAAATATAGAATTCTTCGATGGCAAGAAGAACATCCATCCAGTTCAGCGATTTCTTCATTAGCAGTGTGCGTTTTAAATGTGTTTGTGAAAGGTTCGATATTGAATTTTGCAATTATATCAGAATTTTCTGGGATCTTTCTGACAGCGATGTACCTAAGATAAAAATAATTCATAATGCAAAAGAATTTGATACACCAAACATAGCATATGGCATTGTCATTAACTTTGGCAATCCAATAGCTTTGTAGCGATGTATTGCATCCGCTGAAATTTCTCATAGACCTGAATCAGTTGAAAACTCATAGATTCACTGACTAATTCGCTATCATCTTCAAAATCGATTTTTCAATTTCATTGAATCATCATTTTCTTTATGAAAGTGTAATTTGCAATTATGAACAACACAATAATTAATGGAAACTATATGACAGTGACTGACACGATTGCACTAATATGTGAAATTAAAATTATTCACAGCTCTAAGAAGTTGAGCGTTATTAGCCAAAAGATGCGTAAATAGCTTTGATTTTTCATATGTAATAACAGATAAATTAACACATGAATTTACTTATTTTTGCAAAAAATTTCTTTGAACAAAATATTTAAATTTCCAATACTCAGTCTTATTAACCCCTTTAACGCTCCAACCAATAGTCATTAACTTTAGACGCGTTTTCTCAAAACTACTTTTCAAAGTCCGTGTTCACTGTCATTTCAAAACTACTTGACGATTATTTTAAACTTTATACACATTTTCGACATATAGCAACTCCCCCTATTATAATTTTTACATTAGGGTGTTCCATTCCAACAATGGCGAAAGTTTAGTGGAAAATAACAGTTTACAATTTAAATAACGTCAAAATGTTTAAATGAAAAACAAATATCAGAGAAGAGAAGGGAGGATTTGATCATAATTTAACTAATTTTCTTTTGGTTTTTCGGATAATTTCCAGCGAGTTATGGTGAACACGCAAATTATTTTTCAAGACGTTCGGGTAAGCTCTGTTACCGGTTATGCTTCAATTCCTGCATATTTATATTTAATTTACAAAAACGACTTTTTCTATAAGGTGAAGGTATCTCCCTTCCTTTTTCTTCATTCATGTTTATAAAAAGTGTTACAGTGATCGGATTTAGTTAAATATGCGCCGTTTTGTTCGATGATCTGTTTAATCTAGACGGCAACTTCATAATACCTTCCTCGTAGAAGCCCTCCTTATTTGCGAAGAATTCGGACAGCCACTTTTCAAGCTCTTTTGAGTTCAACTTCACACACCAAGGGATCTGCCATGGACAGGAAAGGTGGAATCACTTTGCGCTGTACGGTCTATATGGTGGATGGATGATAAAACCTCCCATCGAGCTCCGTAGCTTCTGACGAGTCATCAACGAAGTGTGTGGTCTGGCGTTGTCCTGTGAACACTACACCCTTCCTGTTGGCCATCTGGACGCTTCTGGTCGATCGCCTGCTCTAAGCGGTCCAGTTGTTCGTAGATGGTAGAATTTAGCGTCTGGCCATATGGGAGCTGCTCATAGTGGATTATTCCTTCCAATACCAACACACAGCAAAACCTTCCTGGCGTCAATCGCGGCTTGGCACTATTTGGGACGATTCACGGCCTTCGACCACGACCGTTTTCGCTTGATATTGTCGTATGTGATCCATTTTCGTCGCCAGTCACCATCCGCTTCAAGAATGGGACGAGTTCGTTCCGTTTCAGCAGCATATCGCAGGCGTTGATTCGGTCCAGAAGGTTTTTGCCAAATTATGCGGCACCCAAACATCAAACTTTTTGTATCCAG